GGAGGAACCTAAATCACCTGGTGAGGACATATAAAGCCATTAAAATGTGAACAGTGAAGCCAAATGAGGGATGTAACTTGATCAGAAAACATAAGATTAATAAAATATGCATGGAAAATTGAGTAATTTGCACTAATTAGAGATTTAAGGGAAGTGGAAAATAAACAAGTTCCTGAGAAGAGCTAAGAAGACATATCACAAAGAAAAGGGCTACAGATTGCTGTAATTCTTACTGTCCTTGCACTGTCTGCCCACTCCAATTCCTGCAGGAGGAAGCTGGTTAGTTTTCACATCCACTGAAGAGCAGCTGGTTACAAGTCATATTGTTTTGTCATTCCTACAGTCACTACTCTCTTTTTTGATCAATTCACACCCATTCTACAACATCTGTAGCTATTTTTGTCACTACTGAATTTTTCTGAGGCGCTGCTGCCGCAGCCATCTTATGCAAATAAAGGCAAAAAAGAATAATATTATTCCTGCAAATGCAAAACATTTTAACACATATTTTGTCATAGTCACCACCTAACACATTACTCAAACTTTGGTTTACACCTGCACACCCAAACAAGAAGATGCACATGTATTACTTGCCAGCCTAAACCGTGGGATCTTCATGGAACACCAAAGCGCCAGCCCAAGGGAGTATGTACCAAAACTGAGAGATGGTGACAGGAGTTCATTACATTATGTAAAGGTGTGAAGATTAAATAACACATGTTTGACTTTATTCTTGCACATAAGTGCAGGTAATAAATACACACTTAAAAAACTCCAAACGTGTATTGTACTAAATCCACACATTCTAAGCAAACAAACTCCTTTCCATGAGTACTTCCTCCATGGTACCAAGATGCACACTACACCTGGTGCAGAATCTTGTACAAAATTATTAGGTTACCAGTGCTTTGATGTGCTCTAACCTTTCTTCATGAGAGATGTAACAATGCAGATACTGCTCAACTAGATGTTTTCCTGATAAAATAAACTTGTTCTTTTGACAACACTCATTTGTTTTTCTTTTTTATTTCTTTTATTTCTTTTTTTTAAATCTTTGAGATTAATTTCTCCCCTATGAATCTTTTGTGGGATTTAGACAAGCATCTTTAAGATAGGTTCAGACAACATGTTCATACATTATGTTCATGGATCTAGACCCTCCTTTTTGCAGGCACAAATGCCTTTCAGGCATCATGTCTCCACGACATAAATGACCTTGCATTTTGTAAGCCCTTGCAAAAGGCACTCACAGGCCTTGCAGTTTGCTGAGCTCAAGGCTGTGTAGGTTTCCTAAGTGACTGCATGTAAGGAGCTGGTAGAAATAAGCTGTGAAAGACATAGGAAAATGCCAGATTTCTCCATCCCAGAGCTGGGATGTCAAACCAGCTTGTTTCCAGAGACATTACAGAGAAGCCCTTGGCCTTCAGGCAAGATTCACGCCTCTGTTCAGACATTCAAGGTACCACCCAAAGCATTGGACACTGAGAGCACATAGTTTGGATACCTTTTTCTTCTACATAAATGTTTAAACTATAGAAATCTGCACAAAGAAATTGAAGTGAGTTATTAAAGTAGAATTCACATCTGTTTTAAAATACAGATTCAAAATATCAAACACATTTACTTACTGTTTTTTCTCAGTTATCATTAAATGAATGATAATTGCTCTCATTCTTTTATGTAACCCAGAAAGTATGTCCATAACAAACTGCAAGACTGTCTAATAAAATATGTTATCAAAGTTATGACAAAATCATTTGTCATTGTGCAATAGTGACCAGCAATTAAGACAGATAAGAATTCTAATCTGGTATCTCATAAAACCATTATGTAACTCCAAAGACATTGATCAACACAATAAATTTGCACTAAGATAGAAATGACAAATAAAAACATATAAGAACTTAAGGACTCAGATAAGAAACTATGAAAAGGAATTCTTTTTATGAGCAACAAGAGGAAAATACGCCCCACAGGAACAGCAGCATGTGTTCTCAAACTCAGTGCTTTCTTGCGAGAGGATTTAGATAATCTTTGAATATTTAAGAGAAAAAAGCCAACTCACCCTGTCTATGTTACATTTATAATGTATGACTAGCGTTAAAGATATTTTTGTTCATATGGAAAAAACAAGCAAACAGAAATGCTAGAGACATATAGACACATGCTGTTTGATTTTTTTACAGTAATATGCTTTCTCAGGTTAAAGAATAGGAAACCCGAAGGCATACTCTAAGCTATTCATGCATAAAATCACAGAAATTGTACCTGTAGATCAATAAACTTTTTATTTTCAGGGAAAAAAGTAATATCATTAGTTCAGGGAAATGCAGGTTTCATTTCCATCAAAGACTAAATACCAACTGACGTCAGTGACAGGAGGAACTGGCTTTTGGGATTAAAAGCCATCAAGCTACATTGTTTTTTAGAATCATCATTGCTTTAGCTTGCAAGGATTGCTCAGTATAATTGTGCATTTAAGTTTTTTCTTTCCTTTACCTTACGTATATCAATTATAGATGACCAGGTCTTGAGTCCCTCAAGTCAAAGGAACACATAACATGCATTGACTGTTCTTAGCAGGGTAACTCCCAAATCAGTTACTCAGCAGGTATGGAAGTACAAAAGTTAATTTTAATTTTTCTTTAGTACCTTGTTAGAAATGTCCCCAGCGCTCAAGACTAAGGAGTTCGGATAGGACCTTGTACTAATAAAAGAGGGAGTACCATTGTGAAAGAACCTCAAAATAATGGAAATATTTGGAGCTCTGGGTGGGGAAGAGTGATTGCAATGACAGTACCAGTTCAATTCCTTGCTAGGTCTATTGCATGACTTTTCTTTTTTAACACATCAAACCCTTGTTTAAGGCAGGGCACATGGGGTTTGGCAACAGATCTTGCAGATAAGGAGAGTTGTTCTGCTCTGGGAAGTGAAGGGGGATCTGAAAGCAGTGGAAGAATACCAGGCCTCCTCTTCAGCAAAACAAAAACCCACAGCATGTGAGTAATCCTATCTCCAGTCATCAAAGTATGTATTCAAATCATTCTCTGAATAATGATGGGATTACTCACTCGGGTAAGGTTAAGCACATGCTTTTACTGAACTAATATATCTGGACAGAAGCCACAGTATTCTATGCCATTTTAATTGGAGGTTTTCTCTGCAAATACTGGAACACCCACGGAACTGAAGGGAGGATAAAGATCCTTTTCTGCTTTCCATGTAATTATCACACAGAAACTCCCTAAACTTAAATTTACTGATTTTTGCTTGGATTTGAAGCATTATAGTCCCCATATAGGATATGATTTTGTCCCAGTAGCAGGACCAAAATGCTACTTGACACTCTAGGATAGTAGTGCAGTGAAGAAAAAACCCACTGTTATAAGGTGATAAAAATATTACTCTGATTTCAGAAGTCATTGAATCTAATATAACTGTGCAGGTATAAATGAAAAATGTGATCATTAAACTCTACAGTATATAGAATATTTATCTACAGTAATATAGATGTCTTATTTTGGGGTACATGGCAAAAAAGTAAATGTGGAAAGACTTGCTTTGATGAGATCATACCAGCTAGCATGACAGTGGGTGCCTAAGATGAGAAGAACTCTGATTTCAAACCAGGGATGATAGGGTTCACAAAGCCCACGCACCCCAATGCACAGAATCTTCATGTGCCATCCCCCTCAAACCAAGGGTAGCCAACAGAAAAGGATACAGACCCTCAGGTGAGGAAGAAACCCCAGGGTCTGGAGGTAGACTGAAAAAGGGTAGGTGGGACAGAAAGCCATGAAAATAGCAGCCAGAATGATGCATTTCTACCTATCAGCTTTATGTGGTCCACAGTCATAAGGCACAATCACTGCACTAGCAAGTAAGTGTTGATGCACACATGAGTTGTAACAATACTGGGATATTTACAGACACTTTGACTAAAACTACTAGAGTAATTGGTAGTTCTTCTATTGTTCAGTGTCCTCCAGTTACCATTTAAAAAATTGTATTTTACTAACTTATTTTGTATGGTATAAGGAAAAAATGAGCTAGAGAGCTGGTGTATGATAAAAATGGTGTGTAGATACTGTATCTACTAATCATTCATTAATAATTAAGTCCACCTCTGTGCAGAGAGCCTGAATAAGACCCATATACCATTTATTCTTTTCTACTGAGGACTGAGAATTCCCTTTGATAGAGGGACTTGGCAAAGTTGCTGGTGTAGCTCTTGAAAGCTGTGAAGAATCTGATGCTAGATCTGAGCTGAAATAAGTGAGTAAGGAAGCACTGAAATAACGGTCTGGAATTAATATGACTTTCGAAGGTATAAGGCATTTTAGTTTTACCTAAACTAAAAAGAACTTACTAAGACAGCAGTAGATCCAGTGAATGATTTTTTTTTTCTAAACCACTGATAAAAATACATTTGCCACTCAACAGAATGAATAGTATACAAACTATTTGCACATTTTGCAAACTTAGTATTGTTTTTCTCAGTTGGAAGCTGTTCCACAGAATACTTTCCTTTGTTAGCAATGCACTTTTTCTGGTAGAAAACTTGAAAATAAAAGAATAAATTAGTTTATCTTTGAAAATATTGTTATGACTTGCTACAATGTTAGGTTTCTCTCTTGAATTATAACTGTCTGAACTTACTGTGTTTTGAAGTCTCAGGCCTATAGCTGTCAGCTGCAACAAGACGAGAGCAGATAAGGCACTTTGTGGTGGGTTTACAAACTAAGTAACCACAGAAAATGTGAAGCAAAGAATTGGCATATTCTTTACATATGTCTAATCAGGTAGGTTCCAGCATTTCGAGTAATCATTCCAACTGGTCACATCAAGTCATAAAGGTTTTCTAAAGTTAGGGTAAGTTTGACAAAGGATCTAGAAATCCTACCAAAATTTCTGTAGTACCTCAGTCATGTGGAAAAGGGTTTATATACTTGTGCTGTTGAAAAGGCAAGACTGGATACAAATTAAAAGGCACAGATATTATAGAACAGTTACATTTCTTGAATAAAAATATTGTATAAATTAGATAATGATTAAAATTTGGAACAGACATTTTGCTGTTGCTTTATTTCTCAGAGCTGACTGTTTCTTGACCTAACATCTCAATCTTATCTAATGCTGCACCACTGTGTGCTGGAGGAGTCTTTTCTGAACAGCTTTTCTTGTTTCTTCCAATTTCTGTAGCTTCCACCAAAGTATTAGTCAATGGTTTTCCCAGTGTTTCTGGAAGCATTATTGTTAATATTCCACTCAGAAGAGCCATGATTCCAACAAGCAACTAGAAGAAATAAACAGTAGCTGTAAAGGTAGAAATATCCTCCAAGTTACACATATCTTCGATCTTGCTTGAAATCACATTTAAAAATAAGGCACAATGAACTGTAATGTAAAGCAAAGATCGTAAGTCTTAAATGTTGACTGTATAAAAGATCTGCCTTTTTTGCTGCATAAATGCAAGATTATGCAACAGAATTAATGAAGAACAAGTGACGTGTTTTGTTCCACAGAGGATCAATACAGTGCAAGAAGGAAAAATTCTGTTTGAGAAGACAATACATATCTCTTCATTTGGTATTTCTACTATCAGGTATGTATGTAAGAACTGATTCTAGGATTGCATATATTTTTACATGCATGTTCACAGAGCTACAATTTCCCTGCTACCTGTAATCTCAGTTTGCACTCTAGCTCCTGATCCTATTCCCACTGTACCTGTATGCCTATTCCTCCTGCACACAGCCGGATCAGAATTTCTCAGCATGACTCGTTAGCCTGGAGCCACTGAAGTGCACATCCTTGCTCAGGAGAGCACCTCAGCAGATAATGAATACAGCTCTCAAGCGGAATACTTTGCTGAACTGCAGATTCAAAGATCTGTTAGAGGTGCAGGCATCTACTGACATTTGCACTGAGATCACAGCTTACTTCAGCATGAGTGAGCAAGGATCAGGACCATGCGAGGTGGATGCAGAAGCACGCATATGCGGAGGCTCCCAGAATATCTTTTCCTTTCCTTCATTTCTGTGCCTTGTTCAATGATGACAATTCACACTGTCCTCATCTGAAGTACAGAAGAGCATTAAAGCTCTGGTGTTCTTCCAAAGCCAGGCTATAAATGACCCAAATATCTCTTCATGGAATGTTTCCACAGAGTACACCATGCACAAGCTCAGTGTTTTTCCATTTCATGACTGTGCACTTCTGATACTGTATTATCCTTATCTTGCCCTATGCTGATTCTCAGGTCTTTCCTGTTTGTTTAATACTTTATTTCCAAGTATGGGAATTACTGTGCCTACATCTCTTGCACAGAGCTTGAGACAAGAACTGGCCAGCTACCATCTGCAGCTAAGCCAGACTTTCTCCTTAAGTCAGAAAGGTGCTTTAAAATTGGAATTCTCCATTGTAACCTTGAAAAGGACTGTTTTCATGCAAATGCACCATTCTGCTTTTGCTCCCCCCCACCAGAAGAAGAGGACAGTTTGTCTCAAGCATGCTTTTGAGAAGCAGAACTCACACTGTTGCATACACTCCTCTTTTTGCACTTGCATTAAATGTAGAGGTCGACAAAATAAAAAACTGAGCAAAATACTGCTGCATAGTACAAACTACAGTGAAAATTAAAGTCATGCTTTTACCATGAAAAATGAAAAAAAAATCCTAGTAGTAATAGGACTAGAGGAAATGGTGCTGAGTGACAAACTGAGGGAAATCCTTGCAGATGTATATATGTGGCAGGAGTGATATTTTAAAATCTATTCCAAAATAATGAAGACTCACATCAAAAAGAGTGTCAAAACTCTATTATTAAAACGTGCTTTTCTGCCATGGTAAGACAGGCTGAATTGACACAGGGCAGCTATTCCACAGTGACCTGTCTCACGCATATCCTTTAGGTTGTCATAAGTTTACATATGAGGATACCGTGGGCTGTTAAGGATATGGAAGCTTATGGATATGCATACATTTGGCGTTTATGAGAACAGGGTCATTACTGATGCCCAACAGAACAAGGTTAAAGTAACACTGTGTGGTTTGAGTAGGTGTGTCTTCTCTGTTTCGGTTAGTCTTTTAGGCACTTTACATTCTTCTCATGTTTTCCTTCCTCGTGAACCTAACTCTTACTCCCCTGCAAACTCTCACTATTCTGTTAAGTGTAGGCACCACCATCTTTCCTGCCTTTTAATCTCAGCTCCCTTAACTCTACTCCATCACATGTTATTTTTCTTTTTTCAATGTGAAAGCTGCTGCATTTGACTCATTCAGTGTGCTTCCCTTCTCCCTGACCCTACAAAGCATTTTCCAATATTTCATATGAAAGACAGAATACGAAACAATTAAGTCAGAGTATATTAATGAAAGGACTTTTCAAATGTCATCTAGCTTTTCAGGGGCAGTATTCACACTTATTACTCACACTTAGTCAAAGCAAATCTTTTGCAGACTTATCTTGGCACATTTGATGAGGTATGTGACATAATTTAGCCCTTTGCTTCTTCATAACAAATGTGTACATTATGTATGTATGTACTATTTGATGTATATAATTCAGCATGGGAATGTGTTCTTCTGATGTAGTCAATGAGTTAAATGTTTATGGATTAAAGTGTACTAGTATGCAAAGTATTTATGTATGTTTAAGCTCCATTTCAGTTAATTTGTCAGGTGTACCTGCTGAAATTAATTGTTTTTTTCAGTCTTAATTTGAAATCTGACTTTCTGCTTAGTGAAACTCTCAAAGTACTCCCACCACTTCAGTGCAACCAGCAGCAACTTCAAAAAAAGGATTTACTACTATTTTACATATATCTTCCTTCCTACCCAGAGCAACAATTTTAAATACACAGTGGTCTAAGACCAGGACTTAATACGCTTAGTCTAGAACAAAAGATAATTTGAATTAAATAACCCTACAGAATAATACTTTTACTTCTGAGAACTATTATACTAGTCTGCTGTTTATTTTCATATCCACATCTGATGGCTCTGAATCGATCTAAAATGTGATCTTATTTACAAAATTCCTACTTCAATAAGAAAAGGTTAAATTTTGTCCTGAAAATCCACTACTATTAGACACAGGATTTGCATTCATTTAACTTCACTGACCTCAGTGGAGTTTTTTTTAATTTAGAATTTATGGTTTATCTGAGAGAAAAATCAAGTCTGTGAAAGGGCTACTGTAACATAATTCTTAACAGCTGAGAAACAGAAATAGGTCATACATGGAGCAGTTGCATTACTGTAAGTTTTCTAGAAAGCTGTCACATGAAAAACATACTTGGCAAATTATTCAAGACTTACAGGCATTCAAAGTGAGATGCTTGCAAGTGGCATAACTGTTGGGGAGGCAGACTGTCAAACAAATAGCAGTAGTAACTGCTTGACGATGTGTGGTGTATACAATAGATCAACATGATGTATATCAGTTTACTTACAAATGTAATCCATTTAATTAATTTCCATTCCAAAACACTCATGTTACCTGAGACTTGGCACACTATGCTCCAAGTCAAGTCAAGCCTATTTAATAAACTGACAAATGTTTTATAATAGGAGCTAATAATGAAAACATATTCACTGTGAACTACTACACAACTCTACAGATACTCTGGATACTTTGTGTACACTGAGAGTTGTTCATAGCTGAAATAATTCCTCTGTTTATACTGCCATCTGCACTGCTCTCCAGCACGTTTGAGCATTCCCCATCTGTGGTTTAACTGCAGCGCTTCTGCATAGATAAAGCTTATCTCAGCCAGTAAAGACAAAACACTGACAAGAGAAGAAGAATGTTCTCCCATGTCCACTCTGTTGGTATCTTGGTTTGTATGGGGCCATTATTAAGCAAGAAAAAAATTTTTTAGGAGCTTGAGAGAATAAATTAATTTGTGGTCTGCTTCATCCTCTTAACTTTCGTACAAATCAACTGAAAGTAATTATTTTAAATAATGAAACAAGTTCCCAAGAATTCTCTGAAACCAATCATCTATAGTTGAAGATTTTATAGCTGCAAAATCAAAAGAACACAATGCTAATTTTTTCAGGAAATTCCAATGGTAGACAAAATTAGGGTAAGAATCTAGGTTAAAGACACATTCCATTACATTTTTCCCTTTCTGACATGTATAATGTACATGTAACATTGCTGTGCTAGTTACAGTGAATTCTAAAGAGTTTTGAAAGAAGTCAAACTATTTTTAAATCATTAATAAACTCTTCTCTACTTAAAGCCTTAATACAAACTTTGCAATTCCTTATGTTTTTACATATACAGCATAAATTATCCTTCAGGAGAAAAAAAGGGATTGAATAGCTACAGGATTTCTAAGCAGCAAATGCCTCTTAACAGAAATGTAATGACGAAATGTGGCTCATCTATGAAATACATAAAATGTTTTGTCAAAAATGGCTCTGAAGCTACATAATGCAGACAAAATGCCCAAAGTCCATGAAGGAATGGTCCCACCTCTCTTTTCCAGGGGCAACTGGTGGTAGAAGACAAAACCTAATGGTAGCATGACCTGGAGTAGGATGTGTTTAATGAATCCAAGGTTCAGTTGCTTGTCAAAGTCACTTTGAACCTCATCAATATACCATTTGCTTTTCTTTTTCTATCTCATGAATTGTTTTGTTCAGGTTCTTTGTAAATTAAAAGCACAAAAAGGGAGCTGTGGGACAGCTGTGAAGACCAAGTATAGTAAGCATAAGACATTCTTGATCCTCTGGAAGGCTAAGATGCAATGTCCCAGGGAAGCCATGGAAAAGATTTAGGAATAATATAAGAAAAAGAAAATATAAGAAATATAATATAATATAAGAAAAAAAAACTCCCTCTGGTGAATTCCAAGAACGGAACTATGCCTTTGAAAAAGGGTAAGAATATATCAGGAGCATGGTCAAGAACTGCTTGGCCTGCAGAGTAAAGAAGATGGACTAAGACACATCCTAAATGTTATATGGTAGATAAAGTATATTTTTATGGAAAATTTTTTATCAATTTTATACTAGGATTCAGTGAATAAGTATTTTTATGTTTTTCATCATTAAAACTTTTCAGAAGTAAAATTTCAGTGACTCAACATCTCCTTCTTCCTTTAGTTGCATATTTTTAACAGTATGAAGTTACTAATCTTTGAGAGTTAAAATTTAGAACAAGAATGGTTTGTTCCATTTCCATTTCAAACTAAAAGTTCAGCTTTTGGTTCCTGAGAAAACAAGTGACAGGCTTTTTCAAAACCAGAAACATTCATCATTGAAATAAATACTTACAAGTGGCATGAAAATCCAAACACTTCTTAGATACACACAGAAAGGAGCAACCACACTTCCTACACGGCACATCATGCTACCACTTCCAACAGCAAGTGATCTACACATAAAACAAAGATTCAGTAAGAATTCTGGCAGATAAAGCAAACAGTTAGAAATGCACGGACACTTAAAACATCAGCAAGATGCTATTTGTCTTTATGCAGTTAGACTAGGAAGCTATTGCTACGCCAGTGTAAATTTATATTGTAATGAAATCCAGCTGCTTCTATTATTAAGATTAAAAATATAATAATAATTCAGCATAGATCACAGGATGAACAACCAGGACTTTTAAGAAAGGCAGAAACAACTTTTAAGAAAGTATTGAATATTCTTTGAGTTTTCTCAATGAAACCAATCAATGCACATGGAAATGAAAATGAAAAATAAATAAAAATGTATTGTACAGCCAAATACTAGACAACTCTGAAGCTGTGGAGGAACTCATCTCATTCTAATTTTTTTTTATCACTACCATTAATGCCAAGAGCTGCTGCATCTGGCTCAGGAGCTAACAAAGAAAAGGAAATAACAGCAAAATAATGAAAAAACATACGACTGCTTAAAGTTCTTACCTTACAATTGTTGGGTACAGTTCTGCTGTGTAGAGATATATAAGGCCAAATGCCACACCTATTGAAAATTTTCCAGCCATGTTTGCTAAGATAATTAATATATTGAAATCCTATTGAAAGAGAGCACAAATAAATAAATCACCAGCAAATAACACAATTTCAAGCTTAATCTAAACCCTTCAAAAGTTGTGACCCATCTTTAAACAACAAGCAATAATTATTGCTTGCTTTGTTAAAATCAGTCTCAGTAAGTAACTAGTGTCCATGTAACTTTTTACCAGTCCTGGTTCACTGAAGCCCTGGGAACGTTTTACATGTGACTCAGCAATGAAACTGTGAAACCTGTACTGAAAATACAGAAATCTAACTTCGACTGGCAGCTGCATTTTTAAAACAGCCTTAATCAACTATATAATTTAGAAAGAGCAGCTGCATCTACAGACTTAAGAGCCTTTAAAATCAATTTCTACTATAGGAACACTTTCAACAGTACGTGACTAACCTGAGGTATGAACATAATTAAAACACAGATCAGTGCACTTAAAATAAGGAACGGGATGAGTGTGTTTCTCCTTCCCAGTTTGTCCATCCCAATGCAAGCAATGATATAGCAAGGCAACTCCACAGCACCTGTCAGTATGAAATTGTTTTAAGTCATGATTACACATATTCATGTTATAACTCTAACTTCCTCTTTATGAGGATTAACTTCATCTAGGGGGTACTAAATAAGTGAAATCCAGAGATAACCAGCGTGATGGGCTAGCACACTTTCTAACAGAAATGGGAACAGAAGGCAGAAAACATGGCCTAAACTATAGTAGGGGATGAAGAAGAACAAGGGAAACAGGCTTCACAGCACAGAGCAGCTCCAGTTCTCTTTGGAGAAAATTACAGAAAACAGCAAGGCCACAGTTCTGCTTTTGTGACACTGCACTTGTGACTGAAAGTTCTCCATTTGCTGCTCTTTCACTTCAGGTTTTTTCACATCAGCAGCTTAAGCATGCCCACAAGGAATATTGATGGTGTCACACCAACGCATGTCTCGGGATTTGTCAGCTTTCACCTGGTCAAACATCCAAAGCCATGGGCACCTCCCCCAGCTTCTGCCCCAAATCACCCCGATGTAAAAGGCAAACTAAGTCTCTCCAGGTCCAGTTTTCTGAGTCAGCTCCACAAATACAGAGAGAGTGGTTCCAGCTTTCTGTCTTCTCTGTTAAAAAGAGAGCAGCTTCTTACAGCATCCCACTCTTACTCAGATTATATCTTCCTAATGCCTCTTTCCAGAGAAAAATTGCTGCAGCTCTAAAGGAACTGGCGTTTGGCTAGGACTGTTCACAAACGCTGTGTAAACATGATTTGCCCCCAGACAAATTACATTGAGCTGAAGCCAGTTCAGACATGTTTTAAATCAACTTGCTCCTGAAGAATGCTACTATGTCCACTGTAAAATCCAGGAAGAACATAATATACAGCTCTGAACAAATATGCTGTACTCCTTTAATAAGCATGTGTAGTGTGTCAATACACTAACAATATCAGGAAACAATCTTTTGGGCCTGTGTTGGTAAAAAGCAGGTTGCAATTATTCAGTGTACGTTTGTCTGCTAAAATATTTTTGAAGGAGGTGGATACAGTGATTTACGCACTGTACTCCACCATAACATTTTCATCTCTGTGCAATACTAGCATCCACTCTTCAACATATCAGTCTGCCAGTACACTCTAACATGTGACAACACAAACTGAATTCATGAGTGCCCCAATTTTTCTGTGTGCTTGCGTACATGAACAGTCACATTCACTTTACTGAGAGCACTCTGTTGCATAAAGCAAAGCGCCCAATTTAATTCTGTGCTGGCTCAGAGCTGCGTGCCTGATCTAGAGTCTTCTGAAGTCAATGGAATATTTCCACTGATCTTAACAAACTTTGGATCAGGCCTTGAAGGCACTGAGCTGCCTTTTTAAACAACTTACATATCAGAGGAAGATTACAGTCAGACTGACCAAATTAAAAGAATACTACAGCTAAATTTAAAATATTCTTTTGAGAAAACTAAAATTACTCTTGCTTCTGAGAATTATGAATCTATTTTCTACTGAGACAGACTTAATATATCACGACTATAAGCGATTAAAGGAATAATAGGGTTTTTTCTCATTTTCCTAATGCATTTGACAGAGCATGTGAATTCATGTTTCTGGTCTGCTTCCCTTGGTGCTTGCATGGATCTAGAATATGCTTGCAGGACAAAGCGGACACAAGCAGAATATGATTTTACAGTCACAAAGACAGATCCAGAAGAATTTTGTACACCAAGAAATTTAAAATTATCTTTTTTTCTCAGAAACAGTGAGATTTTGAGTGAATGTTGTTCCTCCTGTGTTAGCCAACTTTATGGAGTTAGCAAGAAACTTTTTGAACAAGGTTCATAATTGAATGAACAGAATTTAAAAATTGGCTATCAAATCTCTATGCATTTCTAGATGTTATGTTCTAGTTCTGTCATAAACAAAATAAAGTACCAAAATATTTACCTATGAGAAAGAGATTTAAATATTCATTGCCTCCTAGACTGACGGAACTCAGGGAGAAGACGTAGTACCCCAAGCTCCCAGTGAACCAGATCAGCCAGACTGTGATGGTCCTTCTTGCAATGTGCCAATTACAAAACAAGTCTAAGATGTTGTGCTTCTTTGTTGAGGATATGTCATTGTCACCAGTTCTGTCACCAACTAGGTCATCTTGTTGGACTGAGCACAGTTCAGAAACTTTACAAGGAGTGATTACTTTATTCCATCTTGCCATTATATTAATTACTTTTTGTGCATCTTCGTATCTTTCCTCTGACAGGAGCCAAAAAGGTGTTTCTGGGAGCATCCAGCAGCAACAGATAAAGGGAACAGTTGCTATGGAGAGAAATATCTGATAGACCCACCAGGTCCGAACCAAAAATCCCACGAGTGCCACAACCATAATTCCCATAGCAAAAAAAGCATGGACATGCATAGAAGCCCAGGTTCGTGCTTTAATGCCAACAAATTCAGTCACATAAACAAAAGCCACAACCAGATAGCCACTTGAAACCTGGGAGGGGTGGGAGAGAGAGAAAAAAAAGAGTGAGATTTGTATCCATTCTACTTGTGCAACAGCTAACAGTTCAAAACAAAGAGCTCACAGTGTCCCACGTTTGTGTACATTTATTTGCCACTGCACTGGCATGTCCCACACTGACAGAAAAAAAAAGCAACCCTGAAAACAAATCAGCTGGAGAAAAAGCTTTGTCAAACCTTCAGACTACTCAGAGACTGTTTTTAAAAACGTGAAGTGATTTTGGATGCTTTTCTGTAGTCGGGGAGAGACAGCAAAAGACACCTGAAAAAGAGCCTAATTTGCTGATGACGCTAAATCCTTCACCTCCAAGACTCAGGCGTCTTAATGATATCACAAACTGTACACTCAGGAAAATAAGATCCCAATTCTGAAAAGATTGGCCTTGTCTTTTAAGTAGACTATTAATAATCTGCATGTCAGGGAACTGCAAATTTACTGAGAATTACCTTCCATATACTTGTAAATTATCTCATAAAATCAAATGTTGGAAAGGAAGCTCACATATAAGGTTACAGGTTCTCAAAAGTTATGTAGCCGTATTAACAGAATGCAATTACTGACATGTTCTGCATTACAGTATTTCTTCATTGAATACATATGTCTTATTGAGTATATATATATATTTTTCAATTTCTCTAGTAACAGTAAAATTCTTGGTATCTCAAAACAATTCCAAGCACGGCTAGAAAATTTAGACTTGAAAAGATTCCAGTATACTGTTTTGATTAATCAACTCTCTGGTTAAAATTATTCCAGTTAATAAGCTCTGATTCTAACCCCACTGAAACTGATAAGAAAGCTGTGCTGATCTCAGTGGCACAGGCCAGAGTTTTAACCTCCATCTTGCAAATCAGTCCCGTTGGGCACTTAAAACCTACAGCATCGCTCTGGTCAGAGCTCTTTGCTTTTATAAACTACCACGGCCCCTAGCATCGACAGCCAAGGGCGTCAGCAGAGGAAGTCCTGTCAATCTCACTGTTCAAGGCTGAAATGCTCCAGGTGCAAGGCTCTGTCTTGTCTAATGCACTGGCAG